TTGGAGCTGGAAATCACACAGATAGTGGATAAAGTCAAGAAATGGATGCCTTGTCAAACTCCATTCTTGGGTGGCATCTAGAAGTTCTGTTGGCAACCCTTCACACAATTAAATCCTTGTATTCTTTGTTCTAGCCTTGAGCAGTTATATTAAGGTAATCTTATTCTATCGCTACTAGGAAAAACAAAAACTCAAGTCAATGGCTACCTAAATATTATCCCAAGGAATTACTGTGTGGTGCACTTGCTTCACTATCTGTATTAAACATCTCTTGTGGATCATTTTGGATCCTCTCAGCCTCCCCTATCTCTTATTTTAGCCTTCATGAGGCCACTCATGCAGCTCTGGGAAGTTTTGCCCAGGCACAGCCAGGCCTATATCAAGCCAGGCCTATATTAAGCCTCTCCTCACCCAAACCAGTGCCTGTCATTGGACAGCATGGAGTGGGATGTCTCAGGAACCCACTCAGTACCCATGCATGCTCAGCCTCGGAAACAGGCATGTTGGCACCTTACAAGACAAAGCCATGATCTATGGAGATAGAAGTTAAAGGACAATCCTTTTCCCTTTCTTCTCCTGATGGATAGTCATAAGACACATTTCATACAGCTCCTCAGGTGAACCCATATCCCAGCTGACTGCTGCTGTAAGAAACTCAACAATAGAGCTTTTTTTCTTTCCCTAGAGCCATATTCCCCATGAGGATCCACATATTTATGCTTTTGATCAGCCTGTCTTTTAAAAAAAATGTAGGCCAAGACACAGTGGAAAGGAACAAGTAGAGAAATACAATAATCAACTTCTTTTTAACTATTCCACTGTCTAGAAAAAAGGAAGACGGCATCCCTTTGGGGATTTGTATGTTAACTCATTATAAAAGTTGGTTTTATAGTCCAGGTAAAATTATTTTCAGTGGACTCAACAAAGAAAGAGATGTGCAACATAATTATTTTTAAGATTTATATTCTAAATTTACTATTTTCAAGTGTATATATCAGGCAACCAATTCAATACATATTACCTAATGACCATCTTGATTGGATTTTTAAAGTACTGTCAGCTTTTCTTCAGGAATGTGTCACTACTATTTCATTCACTACTCACTGATAGAGTAAATACACTGTACTTGGCCTTTACCTCTCTCCTGTTTACAGTAATCACCTAGTTCTTAATTTCTTCCTTTTTTTTTGACCAGTCATACTGGGCCAGCAGCTTCCATAACATCCCTGGAAACAGGATCCAGGTAGCCAAGTATTTGGGGGGCCATGGTCAAAGCCAACATCTGTCAGGCCCCCTCCTCTGGTCCTTTGGGAAAGAAGCAGGTAATGAAGAAACCAAGAAAAGGGAGATGTATCACCAGCCAGCTGTGGCTTGGACTCTGATCTATCTGAAGAAGCACAGAGAGGACTTGGGGCAAAGGGAGACACATCAGCATTCCTTAACGGACAAAAGACAGCATGTACTCACTCAACATTTTTGCATAGCCACAGTGTTAGGGAACCCATCACTGAGCAAGACAGGTACCTTCCTGCCTTCGTGGATCTTCCCAAGATGCTGCATGCCATGGCCAGACCCCCAAGAGGAAGGAGCTCCATGGGTAACCCAAGAAACGCATTGCTGCTACAGCTTCCAGCTTCTCCCTCTGCTTCCCGCCGATGCCTTCCACCTGTCAGCCACACTTTGGTTGGCCCTCGCTGAGGCTACTCGGCACACCCACGTAAGGGTGCAATGGGGCTGACAGGGATCATCCTAGTATGGATCCTGCTGGTGTCATCTGTGGGAAGAGCTGCAGGTCCTTGGACAAGCCCTCACCTGGTCTCTTCTCTTCAAGGCGTCGCCTAGGTATGATTGGGCCATTCCCCTGCTTCCGACCTCTGCAGAGAGCTAGTTTTCTCCCACCATGTTCTTTCCTCTTAAAAGTGGCCTTTAGACTTTTTAATTAGGACCTACAGGGAGAAATATATTTTACATTGCATTAAACTTTTTATCAAAGTAATTATGAACACATTTCAAAGTTAGTTTTATAAGTTTACTGCAAAAGAAACGAGCTCCGGTAGCCCAATTCAGAGATTTATTTATAGTGGGTGCATTTCGTAGAAAGAGAAGATAGTTATTATTAGTCTAACTCCTAATAAAAAATAAATGTTTTGTTAAAGATCACCAGGTTCTTGACTGATACTCAGCTGACAGCCAACAGAGTGAAGAGGTAACCAGCTTCTTTGAGCGAGTCTTAATCCCATTGTAGTAAATCAGAAAATTGCTTAAATATCTTTTCAAGGATGCTCATTTTTTTCCAAGAAAATGACTGTACATTGCAATACACTCAGGCTTTTATCGCAAACAAAATTTAGAATAATCTTCCCTTTATAGTTGTAACTGGAAAGCACATTTGTGTTACTGAAATTGAAGTCATAATAAATACCTAATCTTACCAAGTCCAAAGAGTTTGATTTTATTCCTCTTATTTTTTATTTACTAAAAAAAATTTTTTTTTACTAAAACACACTGATGGTTCCCAATTTGCAGAATATAAAAAAAAGAACTTAGGCTGCTCTGTTTGTGTGCCAAACATAAAAACAACGGCAGAGGCTTGCTTTAAAATGTTGTACTTTACGGATCAGAATAATGCACTTGAAAGCGTCATGATCCTTTATGTTTGGAGGCTTTAATTTACATGTTTGATGTTTTACAGAAAGTTTTCAGTGAAACACATATGAAATTTTATAATAGAAACCAATGTTAAAAATAAGAAAGTTTATAGCAGTTTTATTTACAACAGCTAAAAGCCAGAAATAACCCAAATGTCCATTAAGAGGAGAATGGCTGGTATAGACAAGAGAATTGTCATATAGTCATGCAAAAGTACCTTATTTGTCTTTTTTGGGGGGTGGGGATATGGGGAACTGAACTCAGGACCTCACACTTGCCAGGCAGGTGCTGCTCCACTGACCTAAATCCCTGGCTGTATTCATTTTTTAAAAGACCAAATTTCTGATACACAAACCAGGATGACTCTTACAGTCACCATGAACACAAAAGCCAGACACTAAATGCGAACATACTGTTTGATTTTATTTATATGATGTAAGTGGTGAGGGAAGTCAGAGTAGTGTTTATCTCTGAGGGGATAGCTGCTGGCTGTGAGGCCTTTCAGGGCAGAAATATTGATTTTGTTTGTTTTCAGATTTATTAAGTTTCAATTAATAATTAAAACTGTGTATGTTTATGGTGTTCAGTGGTATATTTCAAAGTATGTATGCACTGTGAAATGATTACATCAGGCTGATTGATATATCTATAACCTTGCTTGCTTATTATTTCTTATAAGGACAGTCAATATCTATTCTTGTAAGGACAGTCAATATCTATTCTCTTAGCAGTTTTCAAATATACCATACAGTATTATTATCTGCCATTCCCATGCTGTTCCATAGATCTCCAGAACTTAGTCCTCCTGTCTGACTGAAATTTCATGCATTTTGGTCAATCCTTCCCCATACACCCTCTCTACAGCCTCATTCTACTCTCAGCTTCTGTGAGCTCAAATTTTTTAGATTCCACATGTAAGTACGATCATGTAGTGTTTCCTTTTTTGTGCCTGGCTCATTTTACTTAGAACACTGTCCTCCAGATTTAACCATGTTGTTACAAATGGCAGAATTTCCTTTTTTTTTTAGGCTGAATAGTAATTCATTACACACACTCACCCCACGCATCTCTGTCCCTCATATCACTTCTTATCACACCACATTTTCTTTATCTTTCTTCTACTTATAGGCATGTAGGTTGGTTCTATATCTCAGCTTTTGTGAATCCTACTGCAGGGAACGTTAGAGTGCAGATATCTCTTCCATATATTGACTTCATTATCTTCGGATATGTACCCAGTAGTGGAATTGCTGGATCATATGGAATTCTATTTTTAATCCTTTGAGGAATTTTCATTCTGGTATCTATAGTATCTGTACTAATTGACATTCCACAAACTGTACAGCATTCCTTTTTCTCTAAAACCTTGCCAATAATTTTATCTTTTCCAGTTTTGATAACAAAAATTCCAACAGGTGTAAGGTCATATCTCATTGTGGATTGTTGTGGTCATTTGTTTGTTTGTTTGTTTGTTTGGAGACAAGGGTCTCAACTCACTTGTGGCCCAGGCTGACTCTAAACACGTAGTGATACTCTTGCCTCAGCCTCCCAAGTGATGGGATTACAGGTGTGTGCCAGCACACCCAGCTTCATTTTGGTTCTGATTTGCATTTCCCCAATGATTACTCTTGTTGAGGAATTTTTCATGTCTGTTGACCATCTGTATGTCTTCTGAAAAATGCCTATTTAAATGCTCTGCTCCCTTAATTGGATTTTTGTTACTGAGTTGAGTTCTGTATATATTTTGTATATTATAATATTTGCATGGTTTGCAAATATTTTCTTTCATTCCTTAAAGTGTCACTTCATTTTGTTGATTGTGTCATTTGCTATGCAGACACCTTTTAGTTTGATATAATCTTTCTTATCTATTTTTTCTTTTATCGCCTATGCTTTGGGGATCATATCCAAAATATCCTTACCAAAACCAATTTTCCCTATGTTTTCTTCATGTAGTTTTAGAATTTCCGGACTTACATTTAACTTTTCTGTCCATTTCAAGGTTATTTCTGTACACGGTGTGACACAGGGTCCAATTCCATTCTTCTGCATGTGGATATTCAGCTTTCCCATTACAGTTGACTGAAGAGATTGTTCTTTCCCTCCTGTGTGTTCTTGACACTTTTGTTGGATATCAATTGACTGTAAATGTGGATTTATTTCTGGATCTTCTATTTTGTTCCATTCATCTGTATATCTGTTTTTATGCCAGTGCAATGCTGTTTTGATTACTATAACTAGCCAACTTGGAGATTAGGTAGAATGATGCTTCTAGCTTTATCTTTTTGCTCAAGATTGCTTTGGCTATTAAGGGTTATTTAGGGTTATAGCTGCCTTCCTCAGCTATACACCTAGAAGTTAAAGATACCAGGAGCCCAGTGCCGAACTTGCAAGATAGAGCCCTCAGAAGTAGTTTCTGGTACAACATTTTGATCTTTTTCCTCTACTGAGAAATACTTCTCAGTCAAGTTTAATGAGGCCTTGTACACAGATTCATTGCATTGGTTCTGTAGAGTTTTGATCTTGTCCAGGCCTCCACATTCTTCAATCATTTTACTAAGCTTCTCAGTTTCACCCAGTTTCTCAGCAGCCTGAAAGATATTTGAAGTGGCATCCAGAATAACAAGAATAATTTTCATATCTTTTGCAATTAAGAGGTTCATCAATGGTTGTCTTATACCACAATGAACAAGGTATACAATCTGTTCAACTGTCCAACTGGTTGTATGGTTGGTCACGGCCCACACAGCTTCCTTTTGTGTCTTAAAATCTGCCCTAGAGAGAGCACTGATGAGAAATGGGATTAATCCATGATTTACAAACTACTGTGTCTGGTCGTGCCAGTCAGCTGTGATGTTTGACATTGTCCATGTGGCTTCTTTCTGAATATTAGTTTTGGGGTGGGTGAGCAGGCTGGGAAGGACAGCAAGTGCTCCTGTATCTATCACAGTCTGCGTCTGTGCATCTGTTCCAGTGACAGCATTCCCTATGGCTCTTAGCGCAGAAGCCCTCATGGGCAATTCATTTGATTCTAGAAACTTCACCAGATGGGGCACAGCTCGCGTTTTTACAACCACTTCAATGCATTCATTTGAACCATCAGTAAGGTAAGAAATAGCCCAGCCGGTATCTTCTAATACTTTGAGATCATTGTGATGCAGGAGACAAGCCAAAGCAGGAAGAATTTGCTCAACAGCATTAATGGGGGTGTAGGATTCTTGTTGTGGCAAAGGTTTGAAAGTGTCCAGGTAAGGTTACATAAGTAACCACCTACTAAAAATGACATATCAGGAACTGCAAGAAGAGCTAAGAGTGGATCAATTGCACCATATATGATAATCAAGGGGTTGGGGATTTAGCTCAGCGGCAAAGCGTCTGCCTGGCAAGCGCAAGGTCGTGAGTTCGGTTCCCGATACCGGAGAAAAACCAAAAAAAAAAAGATAATCAAGTCTCGGAAAACTGAACCATCACCTGCAATGTTTTCTAGAGCCCAGAGAGCTTTTTCACTGATGTGAGCATGGGGAGATGCCAAGAAAGAAATGAGTGCTGGGACAGCACCTCCATCCACCCTTAATTCCAGCACCCTCAGTCCCAGTATTGTACCAGGAATCAATCACATTCTTAACATGTGTTAAGAATTGAATGCACACTTTAGGGCCAAGTGTTTCAAAAGAGCCTTTTTCAATTTGCAGTTCAAATATCATTTTTACACCTCCCCCAGTATACCCAACTCCAAGCTGAGGTCTCCCCACCTCCCTGTGATATGCTGATGAAAAAGAAAAAGCTTTTGGCAGCCAACAGTTGGCCCAATACTCACAGCTAAGCCCTGAGGTTCTGCTGGACAGAACAGTCTCAGTACTGGACAAAGCCGTTCCGCAACCATGATGGATCAAGACACAAACAAGACTACTTCATAACCTGTCTGAACACAGATAAAAATAAGAGCTGTGCTTAAGCAAAAAAGACTAATATCTTCCTTCATAGCTGATATGAATGGCTACTGTTTCTTTATAAATCATGGCTCCCATCTCATCTGTCCTTTTTGCCTTCTAGATGAAAATTACCAAGCTCTGCTACCTGCCAAAGGCTGAAAATAGACCCAAGTCTATCACCATGTACCAAACTCAAGTCAAAATGGTTCATAGATCTCAGTATTAAAACAGAAACACTAAATCTATTGGAAGAGAAAGTAGGTAAAAACCTTGAAGACATAGGGGTAGGCAGAGAGTTCATGAACAAAAACCAAATTGCACGGGAAACATTTGAAAAAATCAACAACTGGGATCTCATCCTACTGAAAAGTTTCTGCACATCTGAAAAAATCACTAGAGAGTGAAAAGAAAACCCACAAACCTGGAAGAAATTTTAGCTGACTGTCCCACAGACAAAGGGCTTCTACCTACAACATATAAAGTATTAAAAAATATCAGCCACCCCAAATTCAAAGACCCAATCCAAAAATGGGCAGCTGAGATGAATACACACTTCTCAGATAAGGAAATACAAATGGCAAACAAATACATGAGAAAATGTTCAACATCATTAGTCATTCAAGAAATGCAAATTAAAACAACACTGAGATTACACCTTACCCCAGTAAGAATGGCTAGCATTAAGAAATCAACCAATAACAAATGCTGGCAAGGCTGTCGAGAAATAGGAAACCTTCTCCACTGCTGGTGGGAATGCAGACTGGTGAAACCACTGTGGAAATCACTTTGGAGACTCCTCAGCAGACTAGATCTAGAGGTCCCATTCAACCCAGCTATTCTCCTTCTGGGTATTTTTCCAGAAGATCTAAAAACATCATATCACAGTGATATATGTGCACCTACGTTTATAGCAGCACAATTTGTAATTGCTAAATTGTAGAAGCAACCCAAATGTCCATCCACTGAGGATTGGATAAGAAAATTGTGGTACTTTTATATAATGGAATATTACTCAGCTGTAAAAAAAAGATAAACTTGAGGCATTTATAGGTAAATGGTCACAACTAGAGACCATACTCATAAGTGAAATAAATCAGACATGCATGTGCAAGCACCAAATTGTTTCACTAGTGTAAAACCTGAAAGAGTTAATTTAAACTAGGAGGTATGATAGACATTGTGAAATGATAGGAAAGTACTCAAGGGTAAAGGGCAACTGGCATGTGGGAAAAGAAAAGGGAAAGAAGGAAAAATTTTGTATGTATGTATATACAGGATAGTTAATATAGTTGTTCTACTGTCTTCTATTTCTTTGCTGAAACTGTCAATGAGTCCTTGATTGATCAATATTGCATGTTTCTATCTGTTTTCATGAGAAACCACTTTGAAGATATCAACATGGAATACAACAAGCATTGTTAATTTCCTACCACTTTGTTTGTAACTTGCTATTGTCTGTACTGTTCTTTTGCTCTCTTGTAAAAGGTTGTCTGTCTGTTAATGTTTTCCTCCTTTCATTTTTAAAATTAAAAAAAGAAAAAAATATAGGGAAAAATCATGACTATATATATATATATATACACACAAAATCGTTTCCTAATAGATTTAAAATCTAAAAGCAAAGAATAAATCTTATTGATGAAAATTTTAAAAAAAATTACCAAGCTCCCCAATTATAGAATTTCCCCACACCTGACAGCAGCCAATGCAACACAATGCTAGCCTTCCTCCAGCCCTCCTCCAAAGCAGCACACACAAGCCCACATCCTGTCTTTCTCACCTCCTTCTACTGAGATGACCCAGGGCTCCCTGTAGTGTATGTTCTCCCTCACTGTAAGAAATTTTCTAAAATCTGTTCAATTATAAGTGTGTGCTTGGTAACTTTTGCCTAAAGAGTAATGTCATCAGCTACTTGCCTTAAAGTTCCTATGAGACTAAGAAGTACACTGAATTTGGAAAATGAGATGAAACATTTCAATATAAAATGTATTTCTTTCTTTAAAGGTTGATAATTCTGTGCAATATACAAAAATGTCAAAAGTCATCAGTGGAAAGGCAAATGCTTTTGCCAATGCACACAGATTTCAATGAGCACTATTGAAGCAGGGCCACTTTGAGTTTCTATACTCTTTAATGTGTAACATAAGGTAAAGGCCTGATGATGAGAAGTGTTCATACCTGGAGGGCAAATCCCAAGGAGGGGCATGTGGAGAACCTGATCCAGCAAATGGAAGGAAGGAAAATGTAGACTCCTGTCTGTTCCAGATAGGAGCATAGCAGTGAACTAGACAGATAGACTCCCTGCTTGGTGGAAGATTACATTCTCATAAGAGGAGACAGAAAACAAACAAGCAGGATATCATTAAGCAGGAAAGGAGAATGCTATTAGAGGGGAGTAAGGGGGGGCTCATGAAAGGTCAGTTACAAATAGCTAACACAGCTCATTTCCATAAGTCAATTCCAAATAGCTAATAGCTCACCTCCAAGGAAAATGAGCTGCATGGTTTTCCCTGTGATGTGCACCTGCTGACCAATTGCCACCATACTGCTGAGGATTCCTATGAAGAATTCTGGATCATATAATAACACTTTTGAAAACTTAGCATAAGGCTAGCAGTTGGAGCTGGCTGCTGGCAAAGAGCTCAGTTAGTGCTACCCGTCAGGGACTCAGGCAGGGCTGTATGTAGAGCAGAGTTTTTAACACAGGTATTGTAATCTCTCCTCTGATGAGTATAGGATGGTGGCATGTAGAGCTGCCACTAAAGTACACGAATATTCAAAATCTAGGCAATGTTTTATGGTAGCTACAGGATCATTCACCTTGAAAAAATACCTAGGAACAGGTATTTTTATCATCAATACCTAAAGAGTAATGTCATCAATATTTTTGTTATCAAAATACCTAGGAATAGGTATTTTTATCATCAATAGATGATGTGGTTATGATGAGCTGGTGTGTATTTTTTCATGAATTTGGGCAAAATAATTTACTTAGCTTTTTTAGGATTCTACAGTGTAGAAGGTCAGAGTGACTGAACAATGTTGCCACTCCAAGAATGGAAGTGTGTGTGCTGTCGGGTGATTCCATAAAGTATGGAACTTAGCAAGACCCTTGCAACTTAGCCAGACTCTGTCTCAAAATAAATTTTGAAAGGAGTGAGGGTTAGAATATGGCTCAGAATAAAGGCCCTAGGTTCAATCCCCAGTATCACAAGGGGCTGGGGGGTCTTGTCCCTAGCAAACCATGAGCCTGAAATAGCAGAATTCAGAGCAACTGAATTGGAAACTGTCCACAGGGTCAGAATTCCTCATTGACCCTCAGAGTTGCCTGGCGATGTTCTTGACCTTTATAACTAAGTTCATCCAGCAAGCACTAGGCACTGTTCTGTAGCCTGAGACAGACTAATGGAACCTGTGTGTTAATCAGCTTTATGTTACTGTAACAAATACCTGAACTAAATCACCTTAAAAAGAAGAAAGGTTTATCTTAGCTTACAGTTTTGAGGGTCACAGTCCAGGATCAATTGGCCCCATTGCTTCTGGGCCTCCAGTGAGACAGTACATCATGGCAGGGAACATGTATAGAACTTAATGGCAGCCAAGTAGGAAAAAAAAGGAGCAAAAGAGATGAAGGTCCCACAGTTCCCCTTGAGGGCACACTTCAAACAAACTAAGACCACCACCAGGCCTTACCTCTTAGGGTTTCCACCACTTCCTAAGCTCCCATTTAGGGAAATGAACCTTTAACACATGGGCCTATGGGGGATGGATCCAGAGTCAAATGGTGGCCCCTGATTCCAACAAGAGTCACACAAATAACAGCTCATCATTTCCATCAGCGGGAGGAAATGGGCTTGTGTACGCGCCCTGCCCCTGAGCACTCCCCACAGCTGGCACACCTCTCCTTCCAGCCATGCTGACAAGTCAAAGACTTCCCACAATTCCCCACTCACCTCAAAAAGGAGGAATTCAACAGGCTCCACATGGGGCTCTGAACGGCTCCTTTAACCCAACTTTCCGCCTGCAGGGAGCCCTGCTCTTTCTCATTCTGTACCTCTGTCCTCACTTTTTTTAACCACCTCTTTGTCCTCACTCCTCTATGAGGCCAGCAGGATCGAATCCCGTGTGCCATTCTCCAGGCCCCTGTTCTCAGGCTGCCTTCTGCCAAAGGTCTTCTAGCAATATCCAGGCCACAGGGGAACCCATAGTCTCTGAGTCTCCCAGCCTGGCTCTGGGTGTCCAGCTCCCAGTTCTCACTGTCCACTGTATGATGTGAGTCAGCTCCCAAAACAGACCCCGATTTCTCTAAGTCAAATTCACATATATGTCATCTATAGCAAAGAGCAGTCGCTGGCATAGAGGGCACTTGATGAACCATTACTGAGGGAAGACACTGCACGTGCTGAGGCACATGATACTGGAATAATGGTTGTGTATCCTTCCTTTACCCTTTTCCCTCCTTGCTCCATTTGCTTTGCTTATTTATGTGCTGTTGCTTTTCTTATGAAACAAAGAGCCTCCATCCCCAAAGTTCCACTTGTAAAGGCCATCCGTTCCAATAGCTGTTCTCTTCTCCCCTTTTGTTTATTTCTATATAAAATAACAGTCTTTGACTAGCACAGATAAAATACAAAAAGGAAAGAAATCACTAGTCCCCAGGAGTGGGTACAGTTTTACTGGGACAAGCTTGATAAGGGTATGTCGGGGTTGTGTCTCACAGTGACAAAGAATGACACCACCAAAGGAGGAGGGAGAGCACAAGCAAATTTATTTAAGAGATATAAAGGCAAGGAAGTAAAAGATGTACAGCAAGGAAGCAGAGCCCCTACTAGCTGAGAGGAGGTCCTGAGCAGGATAGCCAAGAAGGCTCTGTGTCTAGGAATTTTTAAGGGGTTTAGAAGGGAGCTCTGCCTGTTGTGTGAGTGATACACTCTCCACATATAGGAGCTACATACTTTCCCAGTATGTAGGGTCAATTCCCAGGGTCAATCTCTGCAGTGCTCACATGGTGTCTATGCAGGGCCTATGCACCCAGTGGTGCTTGATCATGCTCTGGGGATGTCCCTGACAGCTAACAGACACCTGGCAGGTGTTTCGTAAAGATTTTTGGAGGGCCATGACTCAGCAGATGCCATGCTGGTTTTCCTGACCCCATTTTGGGATCGTCTGTACTGCCAGATAGAATCCTAACTCCTGTTTCACTCATTCCTGTCACCAGGTCAGGATGCCATGAACTTTCCTGACTGTTTATAAGCATGAAGACAGGGCCAAGATTCACATCCACTGTGACAGGTTCTCCCTGCTGCTCAGTGTCAGGATCCTTCCTGGGATTCCGCGTTAACTCTCAGTCAGTTCTCTCGTCGGTTCTGGCCACTATGAGTCAGCCTGCAGCCTATGAGGACGCGGCAGCCTTCTCACTGCCCCTTAGGAATTTCTCTCCTTGGTCTCCCTGGAGTCATTTCAACCATCACCTTACTTTCTTGCTGCCCAGGGAGCAAGTATATAGAATCGTGTGTGTGTGTGTGTGTGTGTGTGTGTGTGTGTGTGTGTGTGTGTGTGTGGAGAGAGAGAGAGAGAGAGAGAGAGACTGGGGATTGTAGTGAGCTATATTCCTGGCACTTTTTTTGGTTTTTGCTTTTTATTAAGTCACTTAGCTGTTTGTAATTGGCTTGAACTTTAAATCCTCTTTCCTGAACCTTCCAGAGTACTGGGATCACAAATGTGTGCCACCACACCAGGCTGAACCTTCTCTTTATGTGTTCCCATGACGGGAGACAGGCATGAGGTAAGCAAACAGCATTTCTAGAGACCCCAGAAGTCCTGGTGATCATGGTCCTTGGAGGACCTGGCAGACTTGGTGGACTTGGCCTCCACTTGTACTGGCCTTGACCTTGGAACTTCTCTCCCCTCACCCTCTACCCTTCCCTAAAGGCCAGGGAGTCCTTTCTTCCACGGCAGTCTCTCTTTCCAGAGCAGTAATAGGATGAATGTGGCCCTGCCAAGCAGGTGAGTGATGCTTTGTCCCCCTCTACTTAAGGAACAAACGATTAGAAGCCAACTCAAGATTGTTGGGTGCAGGACTTGGATTAGCTACTAGAAAAAATTACCCTACTGTTCCACACTGCTTGTAAGAAACACTGGACTCTCCTTCTCTAGGCAGCTTTTTAAGCCAGTAGAATTTCATATGTCTGGAACAATTAGATGAGTCTCCCCAAAGCCAGGGAACTAAATGGACTGGTTGCTCAGAATCCTCCTTCTCTGCAGCAGCCAGCATTCTCGGTGACGGTGCTCTTTTGTTTATTTGAATAATCATTGCTTCTAGCCCAAGGAAGTGTCTGCTTCATCACTGGTTTGTCATAACATGCATCAAAGCCCTCAGGAACATCCCGGCAGCAGCCTTTAAGAAATCACGACTCACAGAGCAATGGATTTGCTGGTAGTGGGGAGGCAAGGGGGCTGCTGGTTACTGAGAAACCATCCAGAATGGGAGATGCTTGCTCACTACTGACATGGGTATTAAAGGCTCAACTACCCACCAGGCTGAAAGAAGGGCAGAGCCTAGACCCCAGAAAGTCAGTGTTCTCCCTTGTGTGCAAATATATGGGTGTTATTTTAGAGATATTAGCTGCTGCTTGGGTGGGACAATATGTTTTAAGTGGTAAGGGGCTTCTATAGGTGGCAGCCAAGAGCAAACAGGCTTCGGGCATGGACAGCCATCACTGACGTTCTGGTTCCTGCCTATAAACTGCCTTGTGTAGTTATTAACTGCATCCACCTGACAGCCTTGGTAGAGGCTGACGTGAGAGGGATCCATGTCGGGTGCTTAGCACAGCTTGCTGAAAATGATAGGAGTAAATAAGTGCTGGTTAGCAGTGTTTGAAATGTCAAGATAGTTATGTTGTTATGTACATGATGTTCCTGGGAAGTTCTACATTTTAAGGGTGGGGATTAAAGAAGAATGTATCCCTGGACTAAATTGGGAAATAGTAATGAACTAAGAAATATCAGAGTGGCATCAATTGAGTGGGACATGATGGTGTACACCTGTAATCCCAGTGCTCAGGAGGCTGAGGCAGGAGGGTCACTGTGGGTTCAAGGCTAGCCTGAGCTACACTGTGACTTTAAGGTCAGCCTGGAGTATAGTACCTAGTGAGCTCCTGTTAGAAAACAACAAAGAGTGGCCACAACTGACCACAGGCAAGTCACAGACTCTCAGTTCATATGTTCTGCAGTTGGACTTCTGTGGACAAGCTTTGTTGCCAGGTGGCCAGAGGAGGGTCCACTGAGCCTTCCCTCTTGTGTTGGGGGGTGGGAGGGTATATGTGTTTTACTGGGAGTTGCGCCCCTTGGAGCACCAAGCTACATCTCCACAGTGTAGCACTAATTTGCTCAGGCTGGCTTCAAACTTGTGGTCCTCCTGCTTCAGCCTCCCAAGTAGCAGGACTACAGTTATTCCCGGTTAGCCTTTCTTCTTAAGGCAATAATTATCAAGTTTAAAAAGAAAAGAGCATATTCCTAATCAAGCACTATAGTGAAAAGCCTGCATTAATTTAGACTCTAAAGTCTCAAAAGGCCAGGGGTGTGGGCACATGCTTATAACTCCACCACTTGGGAGACTGAGGCAGGAGGATCGCTGTGAATTTGAGGCCAGCCTGGGCTACATAAGTGAGTTCAAGGCCACCCCGAACTGCATAGCAAGACACTGTCTCCAAATGAATAGTCTCTAAAAAAATTTTTAACTATCCCTCACCTTTATGAGACACAATAGAGGTTCACTTGAAGTTGCTGCGTCCTCTGCCAGTGCAAATAATAAGCTGAGTTTTGTCTTATTAAAAGAACAAAATCACTGAACACAAAACAAACAGCAGGGATGGTGAAGGAGCATTAACAATGGAATGTCTGCCTCCTTTCCAGATGGAAGGTGTTGCTGTTGCGGAGGCTTAAGTACTTGAGCGCCCTCTGCAGAGCCTTGTGAGAACTAGTTTCACTTTCCACATCTTTTAACAGGTTATCCAGGAAGCCTGTGGGCAGACTGCAATAGAGCCCCAAAACTGGTTTGCTTCCAAAGAAAATTACCACAAATTGGAAACTTGAATATAGCTATTCATGCTCTGGTCTTGGGGTATGAATGGATCATTAATTAGGGCCAGAAAAAGAAATGGTTCTGTCTGACAGGATGGCAAAAAGGAAAACCTTCCTACCCAGGGGCCATGACCAAGACAGAGTTCCTGAGTTCAAGCCAGATTTAGCCCCAGGCAGGTAACCCACAGGTGAGGATGGACGGCCACAAGCCTGGGCTGAGAAGCCTGAGGTCTGAGTCCTGCTCCTCCACTTCCACATGACACAAGCCTAGCAAAATTCTTTCCAGACTCCAGCTTCCCACTTCTGTAAAACAGACTAAAAATAAAAATAATGCTTAATCTGTTTTTATCAATTTTGCATGCCTGTGTCTGGTAATCTGAACTACTTTGAAGATAACAATATGCAATATAACAACCACTGTTGATTTGCTATCATCTTATTTTGAAATTCTGTATCATTTTAATGTTTTTTAATTTTTTATTCTCATTAAAATAAAATTTTTAAGAAAAAAAGAATTTGTGTAAGAGAGAAAGGAAATTGGCATTCTCTTAGTACCTGTTATTTGCTAAGTGGACAAAGACTTTCACACATGGTATTCCCATGTGACGAGACACAGTATGGATTGTTATTAAGTGTTCATTGATGAATGTGTTCATTAGCTCATTTTTTGAAATGATTCAATTGCTTCTTCCAAAGCCAACATCCCTTTGCTAGTGAAGGGGATGCTCCTGGATGGGTCTACTGAACACGTGTCCTTGTTCCCACTACATGAGAAGGACAGCATCTTGTGACAAGGATCTTGGGGTGAATGCTCAGAGATGTAGGCCTTGCCCTGGTAAGTCACACACATGAATATCAGGAGCCCACAGGCAGCATAACTAACTCAACCCAGAAGTATTATATCACAGTTTAGCCTAGAGCTTCTGATTTAGATTAGCCTCTTTTAAATCCAGATTTCTTGTGCATTGTGGCTAGTAAAATGAACAGGTTAAATTAACTGCTAACAGATCAACCACGTACCAGAATACAGACAGGCAGGCTGATACGTTAAGCACTAGCAGAATTCCTGTACAGACCTGTTTGGCTTCTGCCTCATCTCACTGATCCCTCTCCCCCATGCCATTGCTCTTGAGGGGGTGGTAAGAGAGTAAGCCAACCCATAAGCTTTCTAAACTTCTTCAAGAAGAGACAAGCAGGGCTGGGAATGCAGCTCAGTAGAAGCGTGCTTTCCTAGCATGAGGCCCTAAATTTAATCCCCAGTACCACAAAAGATAGAGAAGAAAGAGAAAGAAAGGAAGAGAAAAAAGAGAAAGAAAACACAGAAGATAAACAAGAAAGGACCCCCCTACGAGCATTACCATGGGTACTAAATTAGATAATGTAGTAA